TGTTTGATGTCATTGCTCAATAGAACTTGATTATGTCTTCAACATTGATTTTTATGGATAACAAGGAAAATTGGTTTTGTCCAATATTGATTCCCAGATGAAGTACGGATTTGTAACATTCTCTCCATTATCAAATGTCTTCATAAAAATCCGACAAGAAAATTCTGCGTATTTTTTTCGAGATGATAGAAGAGAACGCGCCCCACGCGCCTTGACCTTTCTGCCTCCCCTGCTTTCCTTTTCAACTCTTTGCTGCCTCACCTCCAAAACCTAACGTCGACATCGCCGCCCACTGCAACACCAACCATGACTGATTTTGTCTTCTCTGCTGAAGGTCCTACAAAGGATGGCCCATCTGCTGGTGGAAAACGCGCCCGCACCCAAGAAGTCTTGGCTATCGATGAATTGGACTCTGATTTACCTCCCCCCCCACTGCCCCCAATTCCTATGAGCTTTAAAGACAAAGTGGCTGGAGACTTTGGTATGGCTGAAGAACAAATGGAAATTGGCGATGATGATATTACTATCAAATCAGGAACGATTCCCTCAATCCAATTCTCTGAGAAAATCAAGAATGCGTTGTATCGGCCCTGGCGTACGGCAGTGATTATCAAGCTCATGGGTCGCCCCTTAGCTTTCACTTTTCTAAGAGCTCGTCTTCTCCAGAAGTGGGCGCTCAAGGGCCCAATGAGCCTTATTGATTTAGACAACAACTATTTCATAGTTAAATTTGTGTATGAAGAAGATATGAGATATGTCCTCACCAGCGGTCCCTGGCAAATTGCTGGTCAGTACGTGGTGACTCAAAAATGGAAACCTGGATTTAATGCCCAGGAGGAAAAAATCTCTCATATGACTGCTTGGGTGCGTATCAATGGTTTGAATGTTGAATACTTCCGCTATGATGTGTTGGAGAAAATTAGGAATCTGATAGGGAATACAATCAAGGTTGATGCCAACACAATGAGCCAAGCCCGTGGTAAGTTTGCCAGAATTTGCATTGAACTGGATTTAAGTAAACCCCTCACCC